GACGAATTAGTTATTTGTTCGGACGGATTAGATATTTGTTCGGACAAATTAGATGTTTGCACATATTATCTTGTAAAGAGAGATATACAATTTGTCTATTCAGGAGGATTCATCCCTTTTTAATACCTAAATAGCTCTTTGGACCATGACATACACACGTAGCAACTAGACATGTGCTATTAAAGTCGGGTGTGTTGATTGTAAATATTTGGAAACAATGGTTCTATATCGGTATTTATTATAGGCCTAAAGTCTGCCATTCTGAAAGTATATTATCTGAGATCCCACTATTAAATTCAGAGGGTCAGTTACTTCTTTTCAAACATCTTTTCACTCCAATCCCTGATCTGGTTCTACCAGACCAACTTTTGCTGGTGGTGTTAAATTGGTAACACTGGGGTGCCAGTGGTCAGTTACCGCTTCTTTGAAAAGATGAGATCCACTCCTTAAGGTTTTATTCACACTGCCGGCAATTAATACGGGAAAAAAATGGCATTGGAAAAGTAAGCCCCCCCCCCCCCCCCCCACGAAATAAGACTGTCAACTTTGGGCAACTTTTCCTGAGTCCCCCTTTTTTTTTGCTCATCAACTTTTCAGGTAGCTATTTTTTTCTCAGCAAATACACCCCCCCCCCCCCCCAACACTTTCAAATACGATGCTACGTTGCTGTATTGTATTAATTTATATTAAATAAACTTCGGACTCAAAATATCGAGCCTCTTATTCGATGGGTCTAATTTTTTTTAAAGGTGGGGCTTACTACCTAGGACATTTGTATAGTTTTGCTTCTATACCGCTGTTCCCACATTTAAGTATTTTGTGATAAAGGAACAAAAAGAGGGAATCTCATAAGTCCATCTCCAATGGATTCTTTCTAAGATCGTTAAAAACTATTTTTAAGTATCTAATAAATTTTATTTTATATTTAGATATCGGAAAAGCGCATGAGTTAAAACATGCAGGTATAATATTGACCAAATTAAACACACGCCCTTTTCCGGGAAAAGGATAAAAATAGATGAATACATGTACGTTCCTAGAAAGTGCAGTAAAATTTAAAAAAAACATCATGATTTAATGCAAGTTAAGCTTCTCAATGATTAAGAAAATTGATCATTTTTAAATAGAGGAGGGAAAGGGGGGGGGGGTGGGTTGTTAATTGAAAATATTTTAACTTTCATTCATTCATGATTTATTTTCCCCATAAAAGAGGTTTGTTTCATAATTCCCCTTTCTATGTGAGTCATTGGCCTATCAAACCTTCGAACTGGTACTCAAATGTAAAAAAGTAAAAACAAAATGAAGAAATGCTGTAAGTGAAATTAAATAGTTTTTTTCAACTACATGAACCTCTCCAATAAGGGGAGGGGGCTATAATTATGCTCTAAAAAACTAGGGAATATACCAGATTGACCGGTTCACATCTTAATTCACCGGCTCGCGAGTCATGGGAACAACCTGGGATCAATACGATCAAGTTCATTTTTGTGAAGTTTCCTTAATTCACAAACAGGATATTTAATTAAAAATTCAATGAGGACCTTCATTCATTTTATACACTGCATATGTACCAGATTGATTGATTGAATGTTTTACGCCGAATCGGCAATATTTCAGTCACATATCGTCGACATATGTATCAGAAATGTATTTCAAAAATCATTCACATGTCATGATTAATAAATGCAGGGTAGTGAATATGTACATAAAAATTAAAAGAAAGAAATCAACATTAAAACGACTTATCTTCAAAATATTTATTGATAATATTGTTCAGTAAAGTTATTTTGCAAAGAATCAAATTAAAATGAAACGTTTTGGTGCAAATCGCACATTAATCGCGGTGTCCTGACAGTTGTTCACAATTTCTCTAATTTGTCCGAACAAATAATTAATTCGTCTGATCGAATTTCTAATTCGTCCGTACAAATAACTTATTTGTCCGAACGAATTTCTAATTTGTCCGAACGAATATCTAATTCGTCCGAACAAATAACTAATTCGTCCGTACAAATAACTAATTTGTTTGAACAAATTTCTAATCCGTCCGAACAAATAACTAATTCGTCCGAACGAATTTCTAATTCGTCCGAACAAATAACTTATTTGTCCGAACAAATTTCTAATTCGTTCGAACGAATTTCTAATTTGTCCGAACGAATATCTAATTCGTCCGAACAAATAACTAATTCGTCCGAACGAATTTCTAATTTGTCCGAACAAATAAAAATATTTTTTTACCTGGCCCTCCAGCGGCGCCGTAATAATCATCGATGAACATGAAGAAAAATGAAGTAATTAAGGAGGAATGCCACACCAACTTTTTATTTTATAGATCTCTGAGTCAACCTTTTAAAACAATGGTTTCAGCATTGAAAGGCCGACATAAGCTCTTATTTATTTTACATGAATTTTTTTGTATTTTTTCAAAGAAAACGAAAAAAATTCATTACATCCAAATTAAATGCTTTCTTGTAAAAGTTTTGCTGTAAATGAATGCATTTATTTACATGAATACTTAATAAAATATGTTAAGAAAGTCTGGTTATACTTTTAAATTTTTTTTATAAAAAATTATTTATGAAAATAAAACACATAATTTGTGAATATTCTTTAAACTTGTGGTTAAAATATTCTTAAAACAAGCCACAACTGGAGAGAACATGTTCATTAATCATATTTATAAAAGAAATTGAAACGAAATTGAGAAATTTTAAAGAAATTAATTTTTTTTTAATTTTGGAAAATCCCGAGCAAAATTAAACCGATCCCGACCATAATTGTACAATTATTGGAAATAAATAGCATTTTCCTAAAAACACTAGTCTGATTAGGTGTTATAAGGGTTAAAACCTTATAGATCCTGACAATAAAATAGATTTCTTCATTGTAAATACTTGAAGAGGCAAAAAATTAGCATTCTATTCATTTTGAGTTAATTTTGATCGGGATCAGTTTAATTTTGATCGGGTTAGGTCCAAATATTAAAAAAATTAATTTTTCTAAAATTTCTCAATTTCGTTTCAATTTCTTTTAAAAATATGATTGACAAACATGTTGTCCTTAGTTGTGACTAGTTTTATGGTGTTTTTAACCATAGGTTTAAAAAATATTCACAAATAATGTGTTTTATTTTCATAAATAATTTTTTATAAAAAAAATTAAAAAGTCTAACCAGACTTTCTTTGCATATTTTATAAGGTATTCATGTGATGCATTCATTTACAGCAACATTTTTACAAGAAAGCACTTAATTTGGATGTAATGAACTTTTTTCGTTTTCTTTGAAAAAATACAAAAAAAATCATATAAAATAATTAAGAGCTAATGTCGGCCTCTTCAATGCTGAAACCATTGTTTAAAAAGGATGACTCAAAGATCTATAAAATAAAAAATTGGTGTGGCATTCTACCTTAATGTCCCTAAATACAAATAGTCCATGGCCACCCTAAATACAACTGAATGGAGAAAAATTCATAAGATATTAAGGATACATGTATCATATTTTACACACCTAGAGGTGTAGTAACACCTGATGGCGTTGCTAACAAGAACATAATACACGTATCAAGATTAGGTCTAAAACCAGAGGATCCTAATGTCAAGCTTAAGAATGGAAGTCAAGCAGCGTCAGCAGACATACATGCTTTAAAATGGAATTGTATAATAGCTGTGTGCTTTCTGTCCTCTGTATGTTGCTGCATGAATGCTGAAGGATGACAGAAAGTGTCATGAAAGGTTTTCATATCGGGTGCCTTAGAGAGATCTTGAGGATATTTTATCCAACAAAAATTTATATTAAACAACAAAACCACAGACATGAGAACCTTAATAGGAAAATACAGGTGGAGATGGATAGGCCATGTCTAGAGAAAGCCAACAAATGGCATCACAAGAGTGGCTTTAAGATGAACTCCAGAAGCGAGAAGGAGAAGAGGCCAACCAAAAACAACACGGAGGCGAACGGTAGAAAAGGAACTAAAGAACATAATTCTTACTTGAAGAGAGATGGAGAAGATAGCAAAGAACAGAGAGGAATGAAAACCCTTGCCCTAAGTGCCCCCGGGTACAACAAGGACTAGGTAGGTAGATGGCATCCTTAGTAAGCATCCTTTTTAGTGTACATGTAGAATTAATTTTGTTCCAATTATACCAACCCCAACTCCCACTTACATGTGGTGATAGGTTGGGACCACTTATGTATTAAATCATTCTCACAGGTGAATTATACGCTATTTTATTTTAATTTCAGGATACGGTCCTTCTAAATATTCTTGAATGAAAATAGATATGAAGAGAAATCAAACTCAACATCCTAATGAAGCAGTACAAATCGAACCAGGCAAAACGCGGAGCCTAGAAAACATCAGAAGGTGGAATCAGATGTCATGCATGCATTGAATAGTAATTGACCGTTCAAAAGTTATGACCAGGGTTATAAAGTTTTTTTAAAAGTGGGTCAAAATCTAAGGTCAAGGTTAAAAGGTAAAATTATTTAATCCAATCGAAAGGCCTTGTCTCAATGAATACACACGTGAAGTATATGAAAGCCCTTGCACAAACTGTTCAAAAGTTATGGCCAAAGTTAAAGTTATGTACATGTGTATCTTTTGTAAAAGTGGGTCAAACTCTAAGGACAGGGTCAAGAAGTTACATTTGTTAATTTGGTTGTTCCCAAAGAAACTTAAGGTTTTGTCACAAAGAATAAACCTGAAATATGGAAGCTATAGCCCCACCCAGTCAAAAGTTATGGGCGAGGTTAAATTTGTTGCAGACAAAATTTAACAGACAGATCTAGACGGGCGGACAGGGCAAAAACTTTATAACCCCAAATCTCTTATTACAGGGACATAAAAATGTTTAAAGATAACCCTGAATTATTGATCCAGTAATAATCTTTTGGGGTCCTGTATTTAAACAGTTTTGTATAATGGACTGATAAGGGATTTTCCCAACCATATTGAAATTCCTCATTTCTAATAGAAAGGGACATGTTAGCTTAACATTCAACAAAACAGGGAAAAAAAACTCAGATGAAAGTAATCTTTACAATCAAACGCCTTGTGGTATATTTGTATAAGCAGTTCTTGGTGAGTATTGTGTGTTTGAGAGAGAGAAAGAGAGAGAGAGAGAGAAAGAGAGAGAGAGATGGTAGGTGTGTCATCTCTTTACAATAGAGAACATCAGAGATACTAGTACATGTATCTTAATGCTAAGAGAAGTCTTATCGCTAATCTAATACGCTAGGAACCATAAATTTGTCCTCGTGTTTAGTAGTTTAGTACAAATTTAAAATTTCGGCAGCTTGAAAGACATGACTGACCAATGAATTTTCATGAATTTTCTGCTTGCGACGAAGACCAGCTTAAAATACAAATGAAAACAACATGAACAGTTACAGCTTCGATGAGCAAAAGATCAAATATTGGGCCAACTTTAATTACCAACATTGGCCCAACATAACTAACACTGTTGTTGTGACAACTTTCGGTCAATGTCCTCTTGCTATCTACGTTTTGGGGTTTTCTGTTGCTTCGAGGCACAAATATTTAAAAAAAAATATGGATAATCCATTCTGTAACTTCATGTTGTTTGCATTTGTATTTTAAGCTGTTCTTCGTCGAAAGTAGCAAATGCATGGTCAGTCATATAGATCAATATTTCCCTTTCTAATTTTTCTCTCTTTGATAACTCTTTGAAAGTTAGCGGAGTTAATTTCTTGATAATTCTGCTGGAATGTAAATTAGGCAGGTCAATAGGTCAGTAGCTAAGGAGGCCTAATATGCATGCAAATCTCGTGCGTATCTGTCTCTGAGTCTGACGCTAAAAAAGCCAAATATGCATGTAAATCTCGTGCAGCTGCCGTTGTGTTTGACGTCAGAGGGCGAGGAATATTGAAATTGGGATGGGAATAATCCTCGTGTAATTTAAAGCTATGTCTGCATTTCTAAAGTTTCTTAATTTTTATTACGTTTTAATATAATCCGTTTTGTCCGTCAGATTTTGTAGTACACGCACTCTATAAAAACAGGATAATCTCTTTAAGTTTTGGCATTTTGAGATGCCCCCTATAGCAAATAAATATACTCTTATGTACAATGATATAGTATTAGTCTCCTTAAATAATAAATAATAATTATTGTTTGAACAAAAGCACTTTTCTTCATAATCTTATAGTAAATGTTACTGTATTTTAAGACAGTTTCTTAAGAATATCTGGACGGTAGATTTTCCCCAAACTTGGCATGTACAATTACTACACTATCGTTAATGCAAGTGATATATGGTATAAAATGAAGAGTTTCGTTATTGTAGTTTTCACACAGTAAAATCCCAGTCAACCCCTGAAATTCACTCAAGACTTTTTTTGAGTAGCCTATGTAAGTAAATCGACGTTATTTGGACATCAGTGACGAATTCAGCTGTACTTACTCTTGTATTTAATGAACATGATGCATGACTGTATTTTTTGTTGAAATTGTAACTATATGATTCATAAACAACTTATTTCTATTTTAGTTCTGTTCCGCCTATTAGCTGTAGTGTAACAGCTATGGGAAGCTGTTTCTCCCAGAAAGGACACGATAGTGTACCTTCAAATGTACGAGAAGAGAATGGAAAACCTAAAAAAGAACATGAAAGCTCTACTGTTGAGGTAACTTAATGTTCATCGATATTTTAATAAGATTGATTGATTGATTTTATACTGTTTAACATCCCATTTTAGGACTTCAAAGGTCATACCCGAAATACCCATGACTTCCAATTCTAATGCCGAGCGCTTGGCGACGGGACTTAGTTTGTTTCTTACTAAAAGGTAGTAGACGCGCGGCGCTGCAAACGGGAATCGAACCTGGGCCTCCCGATATTCTATAATAAGAGAGATAATCCTTAATATAATATGGATGTTAATAATTTCATGAAAAAAATCATGTTAAAATGTCTTTTTTGTTCAGTTCTGTCAGCAGCTATGATATTGGTAGTAGAAGTAGTAGAAGTAGAGGTCTAGCAAACTAAAGTGTACTCGTACATATATGATTGCAGGGGGGACAGAATTGCCCCCCGAAATCTGAGTATTACGTCATCAGTTTTGGGAATGATAAAGAATGACTGCACTTAAGCTATGGAAGTTGGAACCCGATGTTTTGCGCAAAATAAGATTCCAAAATTCATTCAAGTTATGTTTTATAGGTATTAAACAATATCTTAAGAGCAGGTTTTGGTATAATATATAACATGAAAGTATTAAACAATGCCGAGCGACACCAGCTTTTGAGACGGGGTTCTAATAATTTTGTCTCATTTCTATTGTTATTCATATGCATACCAGTTTTCAACGACTTTGTTTACATCGAGCCGCAACTTGGCCATTTTTCTTATTTGCACATAATGTGCATTTTAACTTAAACTTATATACATATCCAAAGGACAACGTGGCCAAGTTGCGGCTCATATCTTATTTAAAAAAAATGTCCCTAAACTAGGGTCGACATAGCGACTAAATTAACCGGTCACCGTGCATCAACGATTGATATTATAATCACCTTAATCACGTGACATTCTGCTGTTCGATACGCTATAATGCTTTCATTGAACATTTCATTGTGTGTAAGTCTCTATTGTAACAGTATCTTTTGTTCTTCCAACTTCAAACTATGGGATATTTTTGCGCAAATTTTAATAGGGTTTGAAGATAATATGTCTCTTATTTAACTTTATGCTTTACATTAGGGGTGTTTGGAAAGATTTCTGGTATTGACAGTGTCAATAGTAAGTACATGTATCTATAGGCTTATGTCGCCTCTGTATTATGGTCTGTAGAGCGAGACATCTACCCCATGCCTTATCATCAGAATCATTTCATAATCACATGCTGTGGACACCAGTGCTGAATTTACTTTTGTTTTGCATTTTTATTCTTAAATGTGGAAGGATATAAAATAATTTGCCTGTTTTCTGCTTATATATATATATTATTATTATTATTATTGATAATTGTGCACCATAAAATCAACAAGATCTCTCTCTTCTCCATTTAAATTCGTAGTGCGAAAAAAATCATACATTGTATGTGCTCATGTTTACATTCCACAACCATGTTGTTTAAATGACTCCGCCTATTTGCGGATACCTTAGACTCGAAAGTGGTCCCGTTCAAATTTCCGGAATTTAAGGCTTTTACATGTTCTTTTCAATTACATTTTCTGTAATTATAGAAATATGTATGACAAAAAATTCTAGAAATAAATATCAAAAGCATGTGCTTGCACATTAATCATAGATTAATTTAACGATATATTGTAATGTTAAGCTTAAAATGGGTAGCCGAAAAGGTTCCAACTCTCATAGCTTAAGTGCACTCATTCTTTCTATACGTATCCACTTTCAAATACTTGTTGACTGTAGTTATATCGATTTTGGTTTCTTTATAAATTCCAAATCATACGATCCTTGAAAATTTTCGCAATTAATTGTAAAAAATCCCCTCGCTTTTCTTAAAAAAAAAAAAACAAAAAACAAAAAACTGGACATTTGAGGTAGTTTTCGATCGGCCTGATTTCAACAAGAATTACTACCGGTTGGTCGCAATACTGTAAACGACTCAGTCATTTTTATGCACCTATCGATTCGAGAGGTATATTGTTTTTATCCTTGTCTGTTTAGCTATATGTTTGTCTGTGTATATGTTTGTCTGTCTGTTGTCAACTATAATCTTTGCCATAACTTTTGAACCGTGAGAGATATAGACTATATATATGGCATGTATGGTCCAAACCGTTCTTAAGTTACACAAAGAATACATATATGTAAAGCATGCAAGCCATGGTGCAAAACATTCAAAAGTTATGGCCAGAGATAAATGATTTAAAAAGTATGTCAGACATACTTTTAAAAATCTTTTTAAACAGACGAGCAGAGAGACAGACAGAGAGTGTTTTAAAAGTTTCAACATTGTTAAATTTCAAATCAATAAATTTGGGTTCACTTTTGACTTGGACTTCAGTTTATACGAAATAATTTCTGAAATTTCTGCAGACGGGACAATCTCCTATGTAGAGTTGTCGTTCGCTCTTCTCTCTCAGACACCTCTGCAATGGACTATCATCCAGGAATTTTGACATAACGCATAAAACGAAATATTTTCAAGATTTTTTTTTTCAAATTAAGTAATGTTCTACATTGATTTGGTAAATATTTATCTCAAAACTCAGACATAAGCATACAAATGGAAAATATATCCGAGCCAACGACAAGTTGAATGTATGAGCCGATGGTAGAAAGTGCAGACAAATTTCGTTTCAATTCACTCATAATATTCGATAAACTTTCATCGAGAGAAACATCAAGAATGGGAATTAATTCGGGTGTTGCAGAAGGGGACAACCCTTCGTCATGCTACCCACCTCTTTAGTATTGTTTACATAAAACTAGAGGTCAAAGGCATCAGCGACCATTTTGTTGCTGAGTAGTATAAACTAAACCAAATTTAATTAAATTAAACCATAAAAATCATAAAAATGTTACATTTCGAATCAGAGAGCAGATTAATTTAACATCTTAAAACTACTTTGACAACAACACTTGTATATAATACATCTTTAGTGTTGATTTTTCGTTTTAAAGTTTTTTTTTATATTAAAGATGATGTCGATTGTCTTACCCATTCCTTCTCGTCAACTTCATCAGGAAGATACAGGTCACCGTACATGTGGAGGTTTTGATATAAAGACAATTAGCAAAGTATCTGATGTAAAACTACTGGATGATCCTGTAGCTAAAGAAGTACCAGCAGCCCCCCCTCCTCCTGTGCATCCAGTCTAAAAATGATTTTTTTATGTGCCCGAATCGATAGGTCCGGGACGTATATTGTTTTTGCCCTGTCTATCTGTTTGTCTGTCTACAAACTTTAACCTTCGACATAACTTTTTAACCATGAAAGATAGAAACTCCATACTTGGTATGCATACTCCACTAATAAAGCTCTTTCAAATGACACCAGGGTCAATGACCTTGACTGTGACCTATATGTTAAAAATAGCTTTTTTCTACAAACTTTAACCTTTACCATAACTTTTGAACCATGAAAGATATAAACTTTATATTTATTATGCATAATACACACATCGAGTTCTTTCAAAGAATTTAAAGTTCAATGGCCTTGTGACCTTGACTGTCACCTATATGCAAAAAAAAAAAAAACTTTTTTTAATTTTGGTTACGCCGGGCGCATAGTGTTTCACAAACACAGCTTGTTTATAATAGTATTTTAAATATATATATAGTTCACAGATTAAAATAATTATAAAAGAAAAAGAAAATGCAGTTTTCAAATTTCATTTAACACAAGCGCTTTCTGGATTTATCATCTGTCTTCAGGTGTATATATTTGAACTGTTATTCCGTTAATTGCAAAACGTTTCTACAGATTTCTTGGTTAATCATATCAAATTATGCATTTTTATGACTGTACACAGCCATTTTTTCTAAGTAACTCTATTTATATATGTGAGAAAACTGATAAAGTCTAAATGTTAAATCATTTTATTTGTCTTGGTTCTTACATTTAAAAAACTCACACTTGCTTTTACATTTTATTTAAATTTATTTCAATTTTTTAATATTTATAAACTAAAAAAATAACGGAACAATGAAGTTTGTATGAGAAATCAATGATATTATCTCAAATGTAAGTTTGAAATACGTTACTTCCTTTAACAAAGATTGTTTTGTGCTGTAATAGTTCGATAAAAATAGTTGGATAAACTGGAAAAAACCAATAAACTTAGTATTTCGCCGTCCTCAACGGTAGTTAAACCTATAAAGAAATCCAGGATAATCGGGGTAACGACATAATGATATAAAAATATACAATACTGCTGAGTTTTTCTGTCAGTACGATGATTTCCATCATCGAAAAACAATGTTTACCTAACCCTTTAGGCTCGATAAATCGTTTACTCCTTTAGATTCTGAATCATCGCATTTACCTTAAAATATAGCTATAATTGTATAATTTTATGAGATCAACATATCATCAATTTATTCCCAATTAGCCCAGGTGAGCATTTTGGCCGTTACATGTATGTATGGGACATGTTTATGCAATGTTTCAGTTTGCGATGTGCCAGTATACCAGGTACTTAAAAACTTTTGTTTCTATAATGCATAAACAGTGCTATTTTCAATAAGTTTGAAAGCACTGGAAATCTACATTTTCGCTTTTCCACTGCTACTGGAACGTGACGTCAGCACACTTCGGCGCTCTAGGCTGGCATGTTTGGGGCGCCGCTTTCGAGAATGTACATGGCATCATTGTGATATCGGCGATTTTTAAAATGTTTTCAAATTTCTGTCGACTCTTTTATCGAGAATACTTTTAACGGTGTGTCATTCGGCATTCCTATAGCTTTGAAAGGGGCGATCCCGTCTTCTTCCTCTCTCGATCATGTCGAATTCACTTCTTTGGCCTATGTCGTAAATATCGTAATTATTTTGCACACGTCTTGGTCATCAATACAACATAGAAAGATTTTGTATTTAAAAATAAATATAGTTAAACATGTAAATCATTAAAACTTTAAAAATTTGTTTTTAATTGTTATCAGTTTGAATTTTACGACATGTCTAAGTACGAAGACCCACTTAGGGTAAATTGATCAGAAGAATTCATCCTCAAGAGTTCCATCTTTATTGAAAAAGCAGTTGTCAATGATATCAAATACACCGTATACAACGGGTAACGCGGGGGAGTCGCTAAAAAGTATGGGGGAGTCGTTTTCAACGTATGGGGGAGTAGATTTTCACCGCTTCGGAGTCGGAGGAGATGTGGGTCACGTCCTTTTCGGTACATATATAATGTATTTACAAAAAAAAAGCAAATATCCCACGGAAGATGGCTATAACTAAGCTTTGTCTCGGTCATTTGTCCGGCTATCATATACGTCTAGTTTTCTCAAACACTTCGAAACTATTTGACAGTTTTCATATTTACGTTGATCGGGTGGTAAAAACATGCATGATTTGCACAATTTACGGCTTGCGTAGGGATTCTCACATTTAAAACAGTAAGAGAAAACGTTTATCTTTTAAATGCAGCAACTTAAACTTAACTAGACTTTATAAAAATTGATAATTAAGACATTTTCTCTTCAGACAGTAACGGTTACGTAGGGGGGAGTCGTTAATGGGAAAGCACATCGCAGGGGGAGTCGCAAAATAAAGTCAAATGCATATACTTAAATTGGTGTTGTTTTCATCTCTTTTATACTGCCAATACCTTTTTGTCCCCCGCTTGAAAAGTGGGGGATATTAATTTGGGTTTGTCCGTCCGTCCGTCCGTCCGTCCATCCGTCCTTCCGTCTTTCTGTCTGTCTGTAACGCTTTCGAGCTTTTGCAATGAAATTTAGCATAGCAACTCCCTATGGACTAAAGAAGACCCCTATTGATTTTGAGGTCAAAAGGTCAAAGGTCAAGGTCATAAATAAGCAAATTCTGTCTGTTAAAACACTTTCGTTTCCACACGATATCTCTAGAACCATTTGAGCTATTGCAATGAAATTTTATATAACAACTCCCTGTGGCCTAATGAAGACCCCTATTGATATTGAGGTCAAAGGGTCAAAGTTCAAGGTCGTAAATTTATACATTCTGCCTGTGTGTAATACTATTATTTTCGGGCGATATTTCAAGAAGATTTTGAGCTTATGCAATGTAATTTTATATCAAAACTCCCTAGGACGACTCTCGTCCCTCTCAAAGTGCCCAGCCCCGATTGTTTTATTAGTATTTATAGAATTACATGTCGCTATTTTTAGCGCAGGGGCATGAGGAGAGTTTTTGCGTATAAAACAGCCCAGATAGCAAGACTATGTTGGGCCAACATTGGCAAAAGGTTGTATGGTTGGCGTTGGGGGAACAACGTTGGGCCAACGTTGGACCAATGTCACTATGCCAACCTTTTCGACCATGACAGAATTCCTATGTTGGCCCAACGTTGGTCCAACGTTAGCAACTTCCATTCACTTTACTTCCCAAGGAAGGAGGGATGTTGATGTTGGTCCAACGTTGGCCCGATGTTTTAATTCACCCTTAAAGAAAGTGTCCTTTAAAGTTGGTAGTAGTATGTTGGCCCGACGTTGGCCCGATGTTTGAAATACACCCTAAAAGAAAGTGTCTTTTAAAGTTGGTAGTAGTATGTTGGCCCAACGTTGGCCCGATGTTTGCAATACACCCTTAAAGAAAGTGTCCTTTAAAGTTGGTAGTAGTATGTTGGCCCAACGTTGGCCCGATGTTTGAAATACACCCTAAAAGAAAGTGTCTTTTAAAGTTGGTAGTAGTATGTTGGCCCAACGTTGGCCCGATGTTTGTAATACACCCTTAAAGAAAGTGTCCTTTAAAGTTGGTAGTAGTATGTTGGCCCAACGTTGGCCCGATGTTTGAAATACACCCTAAAAGAAAGTGTCTTTTAAAGTTGGTAGTAGTATGTTGGCCCAACGTTGGCCCGATGTTTGTAATACACCCTTAAAGAAAGTGTCCTTTAAAGTTGGTAGTAGTATGTTGGCCCAACGTTGGCCCGATGTTTGTAATACACCCTTAAAGAAAGTGTCTTTTAAAGTTGGTAGTAGTATGTTGGCCCAACGTTGGCCCACTGCGATGTTTGTTGGATGACTGTTTTTGTTTAGATCTGATATATTCAACATTTTAAATCTGAACTTGAGTGATCACAGCACCAAAGAGTGTTTTATTATATTTTTTGAATTGTGCACATGCATGATTATTTATTTGAAATAAAACCCTTGAAATTATGATTTTTTTTATGAGCGGTGTATTCATGAGAATTTAGAGATTAAATACGTTCTCAGGAACAGGATGTGAATGAAGCCTACATATACATAAATCAAAATGACACGGCTTTATAATTAAATTGAAACAAAAGTTAAGCGTTCGCTATCACGTGACCAAACTGTGGGGTGAGCTGTCAGATTCAATTGCTCACAGGTGGTGATAATGCTGGGAAAGCAAGAAGAAGTGAAATTTAAATTTGTGGATTATACACTTGCTATACAGCTGCATTTAGAAGCGATGTAAGTATATTTATTCTTATTTATTCAGGTAAAGTGTTAAAAGTGACTCGGAATTCATTCTTGTCATGTTTTTGCAAACAAGCAGTGTAAGTTAAGGTTAAATAACATCTTTTAAGTTGTTTCTATCTATCTAATTCTTAATTGTCTATTACAGACACGATTGTAACAAAGAAATTCAGTCAGAGACTGCAAGGAAAACAAATGTTGTGGCGGTACATGTAAATAACAATGAAATCGAAGACCATGCATAAGAAGTGTATAAAGTATGAGTCCGTGTGACAAAGATCAACATAAAGAAAACTGGAGGGGATGAAGGGACGGAAAAAGAGCGGGAATACAACAAAAGGGCTATAATAAAGGAAGTGAGCCCTGATTAAGAACTTTGAATTGATAATTTTTCATAACTTACCTCTTTCATCTATTTTAAAATTTGTTTTGTAAATTATGATTGAATTGATGTATATAAAATATTATCAGAGTGAATCATTAGTAATGTTTTCATTGAACATGTCCATGTATGCATTATGAATGCAGATTGAATTGTGTATTAATTATTTTAAACAGTCATAAAATAGGTTTATGTAAAAGAATCACTTAAACAATTGCAAATGTTTTTATGTAATAACTACGTTGGCCCAACAATTTGCCATCTGACATTGTAAAAAAAGGGTCATTATTGGGCCAACCTAACCAACCAGTTGTTAAGGTTGCCTGTTAGTTGGCATACACTAAAAACTACATTGACCCAACAATATGCCATCTGACATTTTAACATAGGGCCAACATTGGGCCAACCTAACTAAACAGTTGTTAAGGTTGGCTGTTAGTTGGCATACACTAATAACTACGTTGGCCCAACAATATGTCATCTGACATTTCAACATAGGGCCAACGTTGGGCCAACCTAACCAAACAGTTGTTAAGGTTGGCTTTTAGTTGGCATACAATTATACCTACGTTGGCCCAACAATATGCCAACATGTTGGACCAACGTTGGGCCGATGAGCAAAATTAC